TATATGTGTCTGTCAGTCTTCATTGCTTTATAATTGTCAAAATGTTTATCCGAAGGCCGCATTTCCATAGCTATTGTGCCCTCCCCTAAGTCACAGCGACTCATCTAGCCCTAGCGTATTGATGAACTCCAATATACTGCTAGGCGCCAATGAGGCGATGCGATCCATGTTTGGAAACATGGATCCCAGGGCCTTGACTCTACGTCTGCAGACAGCTGTGCAGTCCATTAGTAGGTGTTCTGGGGTTTCCGACTCCATGTCGCAGAACCGGCAGTTTGCAGAGGAGACCAAGCCCATGTTAAATAAATGCTTGTTAAGCCTGCAATGTCCGGTGTAGAACCCGACCAGAAGTCGAAATGTCCATAGTTACCTGGATCTATGATTTTGAAATGAGAATTTTTGTGATTAGGTTTGTACGCCTATTATTAAATATTTTTTTGTTTCCTAAGTATATCGTGTACCAAGTATAAAACCCTTCTCTCCACCACTATTCCTTTGATAGGGTTTTTTTTATTTAGTATTTCGCTGTGGGCGATTTAGAATATTTTGTTAATATTATTTATTACTTAATGGATTGTTTTGATTATTGTTATTGTTCCTGAATTGTACCTCATTTTTTATATATCTTTTTTTTTGTTAAAATTAATACAAGTAGATTGTTTTCACTTATATTTGTTCATGAATACAATTGAATTGTACCTGATTTTAATATATTTATTTTCGTTTTTGTTTAAATCAAGTTGAATATTTACACTTATATTGTTAACGTAATTAATATTCATGAACCTGATTCATGTACATGATTATATGTATATATCTTTTCGAGTTATAATTGTTATGAAAAGTAGATTGTTTTAGAACTGTATATATTATATGGATGAATATAGGCCTCCTGAGGAACCGAACACCCAAAAAAGATCGGTAACGCGCCTATATTGCAACCTCAGAGGTGGGGAGGAAAAGCAATAAATATATAATAATCTTTCGTTTCGAAAATATTCTCCAAAGTTTTCATTAATATTCTTCATTACAAAAACATGTTCACAAACAAGTTGTTAAACTACAATACATTCCTTTTATTTACATCTCTGTGTCACAAAAAGGCAGATTCTATCAGGTGATCATAGCTGTTTCACACACATAGGAAAACAGCTGATTCTTTAATTACTTGAAGTCTTTTACAATGATTCATATGTTCTTTTATAGTTTTATTCCGTTTTGACAGTTCAGACAGCAGAGCAAGTAAAGCCAGCCAGCATTGGGACATCGCCTTTATGTAGTATGTAGCGAATGTTTAGCTATTGATGTCTAATTACATTTCACGCCATACATTGCAGTATCCTGTCATTCTGGTGGTTTGACAGAGCAGTTTTCATTTGCAAACAAATTTAGAGAAGCAACAAGGTAAGGCCAGGTACATGCGTAGCTTCGGTGGCATGATCACAACAAAGATGCCAATGTTTTATGTTCTGTTGCGTAAACTGAAATTTTACAAAGTAATATTCAAAACACAAATTTTAACAAAACATGGAAAATATTTATTAAATAGATACATATGTATGTATATGTATTGTTAATATTTTAAATATTAAATAGTTAGCATATGTAAATATTTATCATCATATTTAATTAGTGAATTGGTAAATAAACTGTATGCATAAATTATTTAAGTTTAAAAACATAAAATCTTATTTTTCCAGAAAATACATTTATCGAAATATTATATGTAAGTTTTTACTTTTTTCGGGTCGGCTTTAGTATACCGTCCCAAGGGAATAAAATAGGTATGAACGGATAGAGGAGAGCCTCCAGATCAAGAATATATAAACGCGGGAAACTTGAAGTTTTCGAGATATTTATGTTTAAAGTTGAAAATTTTAACTATTTTAAGTACGTTTACACACTTATATTTTTCACTTTTATGTCCCTAACACTTCACTAATTCGTTTTTATACACTTTTTTTATATTATATGCTGCAAAAATAGCTTTATTTCAATATTTAAATCATTCATCAATTTTATTAATTTTGACAATAACAAAAGGGTTGTAAATGTCAAAAAACCAGTGTTGCCATATTAATATATTTTGCGAAGAAACGAAGCGAAATAAAATAAACAAGTAAGAAAGAGCTAAGTTCTCTAGCAAAGTTAAATGGATCTTACGGCCTTATTCTATGTGACCCGACATATTCGGTAAAAAGTCAACTATAGGCACTGGGGTTCACATATTCAGTACCTAGGGGCTTGAACAGTTTTGGTTCAATTTAGATAATTTTTGGTCACAAGGTGGCATACTTTAAGCGTATTATTCACGCAAAGTTTTAAGCCGATATAATAATTGTTGCTTGATTTGTATACTGGAAAGTGAAAAAATCAGATGGAATTTAAAATGATGTTATATGGGAAATAGGAGTGGTTGTAATCCGATTCCGCCCATTTTCGCACTATAACATAGAAATATGAAAATAACGTTATGTACCGAATTTTTTTGAAATCGGTTAAGCAGATCCCAAGATTTGGGTTTTTACCTAAAAGTGGGCGGTGCCATGCCCACTATCTAATTTTAACCGTGGTTCCTATAAAATCATCTTATACCATCCCAAAGATAATATTTAATGTCTCTGGCTTGTTTAGTGCTTGATATATCGCCCTTTTAGTAGTTTTAAACAGTACCGTTATATGGGAAGTGGGCGGGCTTCTCCGCCAATTTCACCCATTTTCACACCGTCGATAGAGATACTAAAAACATTTGTTCCCAGTAAATTTTGTTATTATAGATTTAGTGGTATAGGAGATATGCACATTTAATTTATAACGGGGCGCGATCACGTCCAATTAAAAAAAAATTCAACTGTAGATGCCCCTCCCAAATTTATCATGTATGCCAACTATGAGTCTTGTATCTTATTGTGGAGCTTAGTTTTGGCAATTTATTTGATTTTGTTTAATGGCGTTTTGTGGGCGTGGCAGTGGTCCGATTACGCCCATCTGAAATACTATCCGTCTTACGGTACCAAGAAACATGTGTACCAAGTTTCATATAGATATTTCAATTTTTACTCAAGTTACAGCTTGCACAGACGGACGGACGGACGGACAGACAGTCAGCCGGATTTCAACTCGTCTCTTTATCGTGATCATTTATATATATACAAACAACCGTTAGGTGAACCAAACTATTATACTCTGTAGCAACAAGTTGCGAGAGTATGAAAAGGTAGAGATTATACCCTAGAACCATAATGGTTGATGGACACTAATAATTTTTTTAGTTTTATTCACTTGATAAATCCCGGTGTTGAGCTGACCAGGGTAATTTTTTATGAAACGCGGCCGAAAGCCCCGAACGCAAAAATAATATCTGCGCGAAAAAACCTTGGTACATCCCGGTGTTGGACCGACCAGGATTAGTTTTTTGAAGGGAAAAAAGTTCTGTACAACGCAAAAAAAAGTTCTGTACAAAAAAACTTCGGTTTCTACAAGAAAAAGTAATATTATCATAGAGTGTATAACATAATACTTAGCATCAATGCTCCCTAATAGTTTATTTTTCTAGGTTTTGGATTGCTGTATTTAGGGTATTATATATTGACATTTCTTTCAGTTCAATTACAAAAGATGTTGATAAGGTAACACTGGTTATTTGACATTTTGCAACCCTTTTGTTATTGTCAGAATTAATACAATTTAACAATAATTCAAACAGTGAATTAAACTATTTTTGTACTATATAATGTAAAATAAATGTGTACAAACGAATTAGTGAAGTGTTAGTGGATATAAAAGTGAAAAATATAAGTGTATAATTTATTTGTAATCGAAAAAATGCGTAATTTGAATAGTTGAAATTTTCAACTTTAAACGTAAGTATCTCGAAAACTATAATTTTTCCGCGGCTATATCTATATATATTCTTGATCTGGAGGTTCTCCTCGCAAAAAGTTCTACGCGAAAAGTCTTTGGTACACCTCGGTGTAGGACCGACCAGGGTGATTTTTCTTTGAAGCGCGGCCGAAGGCCGCCAACGCAAAAAGAAGTTCTACGCGAAAAGACTTTAGTACACCCAGGTGTTGGACCGACCAGGGTTATTTTTTTAAGGGCGGCCGAAGGCAACGCAAAAAGAAGTTCTAGAAGAAAAAGTAATATTGTCATAGAGGGTACAACATCAATGCTCTCTAATAGTTTATTTTTCTAGGTTTTGGATTCCTGTATTTGGGGTATTATCTGTTTTCATCTCTTTCAGTTCATTTTCAAAAGATGTCGATAAGGTAACACTGGTTATTTGACATTTTGCAACCCTTTTGTTATTGCCAGAATTAATAGAATTTAACAATAGTTTATATATTAAATTAAACTATTTTTGCACTATATAATGTAAAATAAATGTGTACAAACGAATGAGTGAAGTGTTAGTGGATATAAAAGTGAAAAATATAAGTGTATAATTTATTTGAAATCGAAATAATGCGTAATTTATATAGTTGAAATTTTCAACTTTAAACGTAAATATCTCGAAAACTATAAGTTTCCCGCGGCTACACAGTTTCTACATATATTCTTGATCTGGAGGATCTCCTCTATCTTCTCATGCCTATTTTATCCCCGAAAGCCTGGGACGGTATACCAAAGTTTTCCCTTATTTTAATCTCCACATAAATTTTTGTTTTCCTCATCAAATTTTTAAACGGTTAAAAAGCTTAAACATGCGTCATAACAGCTCGACAGTAGTCCATTTTGAGAATGAATATTTCATGATAGCAAATATCCACACAATACACAAGAACATAGTCAACCTCAAACGCAATTTATTTGATAGGTGGTTAGCAATTTTCATTGACTGTGGAGATGCGGCGTAATCCATTAGTTCGTTTGACAATTAAGACAATTATAGCCTAGGGATGGTAACAGCGCGCGAAAAGTCGACTTTCGATTCTAGATTCGACTTAGAATTCTATGACTCTTAAAGTCGATTAATCATTGCTAAAAGTCGACTCTCAAGTCGACTTTTTTAAAAATTAAACAATTATATTTCGGTCAGTTATGTTATACTATGCTTATTTAAAACGGTTACCAAGAATACCAGCGATGATATTTATGTATGTCCAATGAGAAAGAGGTTAGTTTAACGATAAAGTATAAAAAATATATAAGAGTCGGTACATGAAAACGATACAAACTGTAATACCATCGAATGTTATAACTGTTGACAGAAAAGTCGAAGTCAATTAGTGAGAATCGATTTTAATCGACTTGAAGCATTCAAACTCGATTCTAAAAAGTCGATTATTTTAAGTTAAAGATCGATTCCTGACCAAAGTCAGAGTCGACTTTCCTATCCCTATTATAACCTCACGTAAACAAATATGATGCATGTTATTCCCCGCTTTTAAGTGGTGTTAAGTACATATTAATTCAATTATTCTAATAAAATGACAGAAAAACCAAAGGTGAGTAAATTGGATTTTACAATTAAAAACTTGCAAGTTCAATAAGTATATTTAATAAGCAGACAAGCAGTGGAAACGATGGGAAGGAAAAGCGACGCAAAGAATCAATCTTGGATCTTTCGAAATATTTGGAAAAACAAATTCGAGTTAAATTTGCAGGCGGGCGCGAAGCAGCAGGCATATTAAAAGGATATGATGCATTACTTAACTTAGTCCTAGATAATACCGTTGAGTACCTAAGGGACGTAGACGAACCATTTAAGTTAGCTGAAGAAACACGTAGTTTAGGTTTAGTTGTATGCCGAGGCACTGCGTTAGTGCTCATTTGTCCTCAAGATGGTATGGAATCCATACCTAATCCATTTATTACACAAGATGCATAATTATTAAAATTTATTAATAGTTCCATATCAAAACTTAAGTTTCATATGTTACAACATTTAATCTTTTTTATGTTTTTTTAAATAAAATATGAATTATTAAAAAGAACTAATTTAAGGAAACTTAAAAGTAATTTCATATATAAAGTAATATTTGTATAATATAAAAATATACTAAAGAAAATAGCAAAGAATACTAATCTAAACCAAATTCATTACGTATCCAAGGATATTGTGTTGGGCATTCGTTACAAGTATATAAATATCTATCTTGCTGCAAGACCCGACTTCGTAGTTTACAAGTATTTGGGATACTGCAAGCTACTTCCGGAGATTCCCACTGACGTGGTTTACAACCCCATGGATCAAATGTATTTAAGTGTGGAGTAATTTTTGGTCGACGCATCCATTGTATAACTTGCTGTTGTGTTACAAAATATACATCTGAAAGTTTTTGCAGGTCATCCATAAAACGCTGTAAACAGATATGTTTATTAATTTATATTTTAGCTTATTGCTTTGTTTTACCAGAAATGCCTCCAAGTAATTATTATTATTGAACCATGTGGCGTGGAAATATAATCCGAATGGAGCACGATTCGACAAATAATGTCGTTTAAAGTTGTGGCTTAGCATGCGATACACATCGTCGCCATTCAGTTGAGATGGGCAGCTATCTATCATACCACATGTGAAATCGCCTACTTCTAACTGATTTATCACAATCTCCCAAATGCCTGGATAGCTTCTAGACGGGCAATTCTGACCTGTGCAAGTGTGAGGCATTTTAAAGTCCAGCGTATATGGCCAAAGTGGGGGATTACTAAATGGGGCCACCATCGAAGCATCGTATACAAAACCAAACTCTTTCATCATTAAAAATTGTCTATTCCAACCAATACGAAGAAATGGTACACGCATCCCTCGAATATCTTCCATTCGTATATTCGCAAAACGATTTAGAATGTTTGCTTGACCAACCATTTCATCGAACCAGTCTTCAATAGTGGCATTTTTTGACCACCATATCTCCGGACCGCGATGTCTGTAAAATTTATTTAAAATTGGAATTTATTTATTTAAATAGGTTTTAAGAATATATGAACATACGTTACAGAGTGTACAGAAATTTCGTGGCCGTCGTTCCATAGTTTCTGCACAAATTGATAATTTGTATACTGATGTGAAACAAAAAATGTGCCTTTAATTGGGCAGCCATTTGGATTACGGTTATTTGGACTAAACAAAATTTGGGTATATAAATCGAAGTTCTCAAAATTTACTGCATCGTCTGAAAAATAGAAATTTGGACCATGAACCAACTGGTAATGCCGCAGTTAATTGACTAAAAAATTAGATACTGTTCTAAAATATTTTACGAATTTGGTAATATGTCGTTGAGTTATGTACATACACCAATAAAATTGTATATAAAACAAGATAAGTTCGGGTGTAACCGGACATTTTATACTTTAGAATTCTCATAACAAAATCTGACAGATTGACCGACATTTTCTGTAAAAAGTTCGCAATAGGAACTGGCGTCCACATATTCGGTATTTGGGGCTTGTATAGTTTTGGTCCGACTAGGACAATTTTTGGTCCAACATTCTAATTGTGAAAACTTTTATCGGGATATATGGATTAGTTCTTTATTTGTATACTGGAAAGTGAAAGAATAAGATGGAATTTAAAATATTTTTGTTTAATTTCGGCCATTTTCGCACTTTAACGTAGAAATGTCACGATAATGTTATGTACCGAATTCGGATGAAACCGGTCGAGTAGCACTCGAGATATGGGGTTTCATTAAAATGTAGGCGGTGCCACGTCCATCATCCATATTCCTTAGCGAGTTTTATTAAATCTTGAATGGTTAAGGAAATATTAAAAACAATTTTTTTTTTCAAACAAAGACACACCTCGTTCATAAATTCGTTGTACTAATACATTATGTACATTATACCTTATTGTGGAGCTTAATTATGGCCCTTTATATGCTTGCGATTAATGGCGTTTTGTGGGCATGGAAATAGTCCGATTCCACCCATCTGCAATACCGACCTTCTTTGGGTGCCAAGGAACACGGAATTAATTTCGACATTTTTTGCTGTCAATATAGCCCGATTACACAGCCAGTTTTGATTTAAGCAAATCATATATTTTGTTTGTCTGGGAAAATACTGCCAATTAATTATTTTTTTCCGTGTACAATAGTGCTGAAACTAGGCAATTAGCCTTATCCGATTGTAAATAGTATTTTGTTCATCTGTTAGTAATAGCTCACTCTTCGCGATAATTTTAGTTAAATTACATGGTTATATGGTTTATACTTCAATATCATTCATTATACTCTAATATACTTAATTAAATAACATAAATATACACGACCCACATGTGAACAGATGTAATAAAAACAATACATATCAGCAGTAAAAGAAAATGTTATTGAAATTAAAGAATAAAGTTTTTTTTTTTAAATTCCGATCGCCATTAAACCTTACAGGATCTCTCGCTGGCCAATCTGAAGCTTTCCCGAAATCGGTCCAGCCGTTTCGGAGTTTATAAGGAACATTCGTTCAAACTTTCTATTTTATATAGATGCTCATTACTCACTGCTATTTTTATGAACAGCTGTAAACAGCACTTTTTTGTTAAAATTAATAATGTAAAAAAAATTAACAACATTTTGAATAATAAATTGATTTGTTTTTGTTTAAAATAATCACAAAGTTCACAAATCTGTGAACATTCATTTACTTTTTGATATATATTTTTATGAACACAGCTGTATATAACAACAATCAACGATGATGATCAGTTTATTATTAATTATTTATATATATAATTTAAATAATAACAATCTTATCATTTAAGTTGGACCAATTTACATATACACTAGGTAGAAAAAGTCTCCGCTCACCAATTCGTGGAATGTGTTTCAATGAAAATATTATTAAAATATAAGCGTTTTTGAAGTTCTTTCCAGAATATGAGATGCGCATGCTAATAGCATTACAGTCGCCAAATTTAATGGAATTCCTATGTGCATTTGCAAAGTTAAGGGCTTTTTTGAATTCTACTAATTATACCCTGAATAGGGTATATTAATTTTGCCACGAAGTTTTTATACCCTGAACAGGGTATATTAATTTTGCCACGAAGTTTGTAACACCCAGAAGGAAACGTCGGAGACCATATAAAGTATATATATAAATGATCACCGTGACGAGCTGAGTTGATTTAGCCATGTCCGTCAGTCTGTCCGTCCGTCTTTATACGCGAACTAGTCCCTCAGTTTTTGAGATATCGATCTGAAATTTTGCACCTGTCCTTTTCTCACAAAGAAGCTGCTCATTTGTCGGAACCGCCGATATCGGATCACTATAGCATATAGCTGCCATGTAAACTGAACAATCGGAATCAAGTGTTTGTATGGAAAACTTTTTCATTTGACGAGGTATGTTCACAATATTTGGCAGAAGAAGTAATGCAATCTCCGAAGAAATTGTTCAGATCGGATCACTATGGCATATATCTGCCATACAAACTAAACGATCGGAATCAAGTACTTGCATGGAAAACGTTTTCATTTGACACAATATTTGGCATGAGTTTTTGCTAGAAGAAGTAATGCAATCTCCGAAGAAATTGTTCAGATCGGATCACTATAGCATATATCTGCCATACAAACTGAACTATCGGAATCAAGTAATCGCATGGAAAACTTTTTCATTCGACGAGGTATGTTCACAATATTTGACATGAGTTTTTGCTAGAAGAAGTAATGCAATCTCCGAAGAAATTGTTCAGATCGGATCACTATAGCATATATCTGCCATACAAACTGAACGATCGGAGTCAAGTGCTCGCATGGAAAACTCTTTCATTTGACGAGGTATGTTCACAATATTTGGCATGAGTTTTTGCTAGAAGAAGTAATGCAATCTCCGAAGAAATTTTTCACATCAGATTACTATAGCATATAGCTGCCATATAAACGGAACGATCAGAATCAAGTTCTTGCATGGAAAAATTGTTCATTAGATAAAATATCTTCACGAAATCCGGCATTGATTTCTCTCAATGGCATATAGCTGCCATACAAACTGACAATCTAAATAAAGTTCTTATATGAAAAAATTGTTTATGACAAGTTATCTTCACGAAATATGGCATGGATGATGATTGTCCAAGATATCGCTACAATTTTCGAACGAATTGTTTATATCAGACCACTATATTAAACAGCTATCATAGAAACTGACCGATCAAAATAAATTTTTGTATGGAAGTTTTTAGTATGGATTATTCTTAAGATGTGACTTCAATCTTCGAACGAATTGTTAAGATCGGACCACTATAGCATACAGCTGTCAGATTTAACCACTTTACAAATAATATATTATAAACAAATCAGATTAATTAATTATTTATACTGTCCAATTTGAGCTTTCAATAAAAATCATCTTATATCTGCCAAAAACTGTTTTGCTTGTGCCAAAAGTAAGGTGTGACATGTAGCTAATTGGGACAATAAGTTGA